TAATCAGGAGCTGTCCAGCTTGGGTTTTGAGACAGGATCTCCCACTAAACCTGGAGCTCTTTGATTAGGATAGACTGAGGCCAGACGACAAGGCCCGGGCCTCCTGCTGGTGATGGCCTGCTCAGGCTAAGAACACCTGGAGGAGATGTAGTGCATGAGTTCTGCCTCCAGGGGGCAGCAGCCACCAAGAGCTGGCTGTGGGTGGGGCTGCAAGCCAAAGCTAACCATTTTTCAAGAAGCCTAAATCCTGATTCTTCTGTGGAAATGTCAACTAATTCATTCATTGAAGACACAGCATGGCCAGCAACATGTCTGAGAGCTGTTGTTGGCTTCTGGCCACCAACTTGTCAGCTTCCACCTTTGGGTGTAGGAGGATTCATTACGAGTTGGCGGAACTGAGGCAAAGCCAGCCTTTGTCTCTAGAAAACTGAACTGACAATCCACAGGACAAAGCAGGTGCCCTGAGCTAGACTATGGGAATCATTAAACTATTATTTTTCTAAACATTTTAACATTTACTTCCTTGGTGTGTTTGTGTTTATGTGTAAGTGTAGGCTGCGGGTTCTGAACTCACCTTTATTTACTTAGCCAGGTTGGAAGACTTGGTGACACTTGGTAAGGACATCCCTTGATTGTGTCACAGCTGGGTACACGAAGGTGGTAACTGTGCAGGGGTCACAGAGGTGGAGTCAGATCTGAGCCTACCACTCCCTAGTTACGTCACTTTGGACAAATGGCCTCATCTGTGGGGCGATTTGATGAGATCATGCAATTATTAGCTGTATAGTACAGAAATCTGTGAGAGATGCTTAGGAAGGTGCCAAGGTCAGCGTAGAGAGCCCTCCAGCCTGGGCTCTGTGCCAGTGGGGAGAGCAGGGAGAGCCACAGGGTGGAGTCCTGACCCAGAAGTCCCTGTCTTCCCCCCACCCCCAGGTCAGTCACCTCTCATTTGCCATCTGCAGAGATGACAGTCATGGGACAGCTGGCTCTTTCCACTTGTGTCTTCCCTTGTAACCATCTTGTCTCTTGGTTTAGGGATCAGAGTCATGGGTATAACCCTAGTCATGTTGGGCAAGGGCCTGCCCAAGGTGCAACCTTTTGGAGCCCATCAAAGCATTAAACCATGCTTTAAAAATCTCCATGCATGGGTGAGTCTATTTTTTTTTTCCAGACGGGGTGTTATATATCTCAGGCTGGCTTCAAAGTCATCATACAGCAAGATGACCTTGAACTTCTGGTCCTCCTGTCTCCGCCGCCGAGTATGAGTACGAGGACTGTAAAAGTGCACTACCACATCTGATTTCATGGTGCTGGGGATGGAACCCAGGGTTCCATGCATAGGAAGCAAGCACTCTGCCAACTAGGCTACATCCCCAAGCTCTCCTGCCTCCTAAGGACAGAACTCAAGCTTCCACTGAGAGTGGGCCCAGACACAGGGATGCTGTGTTCCACGTGAGCAGAATCGGGTGTCAGGAGACTTCTCTATCAGCAGTTTCTGGGACCTCACTGGGGGATCCCTCCGCATCTGGTCACAGCAAGTCAGCAGTCTGCCCAGGCAGAGCCAGTCTTGGACCTGGCAGGTAACTTCCAGGGCACATACTCTAACCTGCACCCAAACAGGTAAGCACCGACATACACCGGGCTTGTCTTCTGATTGTTCTAATCTGTTAACATCTGGTCAAAGTGGCTGAGTTGTCAGTGAAGGCAGCCACTTTGCAGTACACTTACCAGGAAAGGTCGGCCGTCACTGGGAACCACAGCTCTCTACTGTGAAAATATGCAGAAGGGGGTGGGGGGCACTGTACTAAGTGCAGGGATGGGACAGAACCTCTCTCCACACGTGCCAGAGTATGTTTGCGAATTGCTTCGTGTAGAGCTTTCTGCTGGTGTCGAATGAATCCAAGAGTAGGATAGTGGGCTATCCAAGACTTGAGGACACTGGGCCTGCAGGTCCTGCCCTCTCCTGCCCCTTTAGGCAGCCCAGGCCTGAGATGGAGTTTTACAGGTTCAGGTGGGGCATGTGAGCTGCTTCTGGCACTTCATCGCCCCCCCCCATCATTTACATGACTTGTGGGCTCTATGGTCCTCCACATTGGCTCTAGCAGCTGCTCTACCCTATCCTTGTCAGCTACTGAGTGGTTTTTCTCCATTTCCCAGGTTCAGCTGCACAGTCCAGCTTGTTTCTCAGTACAAGTCACATGTACCCATTTATTTTGTTTTCTGAGACAGGGTTTCACTGTGTAGCCCTGGCTGCCCTGGGACTCACTCTGTAAACCATGCTGGCCCCTAACTCAAGAGATCTGCCTGGCTCTGCCTCGGAAGTATTAAGATTGAAGGCGTGAGCCATCACTGTCTGGCTACATGGACCCCTTTAGAGCCCTCTGGCCCACACACTCCCTTAACTCACCTGTGTGGCTCTAGCCACAGAGATCCCCAAATTGTGGTCTGGTCTCAATCTATGTTGAGCCACTCCCCTGTACTTTCTCTTCCTTAAAAAATCCCTGTGTTATGCTTGTCGGTGGTGTATGCCTCGTGGCAGATCTCTAAATTCAAGGCCAGCCTGGTCTACTGGCATGTCTCACCTCCTGGCTCAACCCTCTTCCTCAGAGGCCAACCAATATAAAATTCTTAGGGAGGACTGGGCAGTGGTGGCACACACCTTTAAGCCTAGCACTCAGGAGGCAGAGGCAGTCAATCTTTGAGCTCAAGGCCAGCCTGGTCTACAGAGAGAGTTCCACAACAGCCAGGGCTACACAGAGAAGCCCTGTTTTGAACCCCATCCTCCCTCTCAAAGCAAACAATTCTTAGGGAGGGGTACGTTTCATTGTTCACTCAGGATGGAAGGCATGCTCCACAGTGGCAGGCCCTGGTTACAATAAAACCTACTCAACAAGAAAAGTGCTGGCACCTGGCCCTCTGGATGAGGGGCAGACTTCTGAGCACAGCTGGCCCTCCAGGTAAGGGAAAGGCAGCAGACTCCTGAGGCAGCTAGGCACCCAGGCCTAGGAAAAGACCCCTGAGTCTCAGTAGTATTTACCTAAATGTGTGCTATCCTTTAAAAAAAAAAATTTACCAAGAATTCCCATTACTCTTTCTCCACATGGGTACCGTGGAGTCAATCACAGCTAACATTCGTGTTCCATCCATTGAGAAATGGGACCCAGGAGTAAATGCTTATCCTAAGGTCAGGGCTTCTGGCTTTGTTAAGATGCATCATCCCTTGCAGTTCCCAGAACAGCACTGTTGCTCGAAGGGCTCTGGGGCCACTGGTTTGACTGTTGCCTGGGGTACAGATAGACTTCAGACCCACTTTGCTTTCTTGGGACTCCTCCCTTTTCTGCTCTAACAGAAGTGGCGCCACCTGTAGGCCACAAACGCCATTCCTGCTAATTCCTACCTCCAGGCTCATTCTGAATTCCCATCTGCTCAGTTCTGACCTCAGTGGGTGCCTAGGCTGGCCTTTAGCACCCCTCTATGCCAGCCATGGAATCCAACGAACACAGCCAAGCCCCTACACGCAAGCTCCCCTGACCTCTGGACGGCTCAGAGTGTACTGCCGTACTTATGAAGCTACACTTGATTCTGTTTCTCAGAACTCCTATGATAGTCTGCCTTCTGCACAATTGGAAAGTCAACTTGAGGCATACCTGTTGGAAACTGGCATTCTGCTGACCCCACCCCCTAACCATGGGCGGGACAGCATGGTCATGTCATGGCTATGTCACTCACTAAGGGGCTGCATAGGGGACTCAGTTATGCATGAGTGAGTTTCCCTTTTTAATCAAGTGCCTCCCCTTTTCTCCCCCCCCCCATTCTCTTCTGTTCCGGCTGCCTCTATGTTTCTTCCCTTCCCCCTCATTCCCCTTTCTAAACTCCTCATTTAAGCTCTATCTGCTTGTCGTGTTATTCCCTCCGCCTTGGTCACCCTCACCTGCTATGCTCTCCCACATGGTTCCTTACCTTGGGACCCCACTCAGTTAGGACCCACCCCCCTTCTCCAGCTTTTATTCTTGTAACTGTCACAAAGGAACAATACCAACATTGCATAACCATTCCCAGCTCAAGGTCAGAAATGGATCACTCATTAGTGTCTGGTTGAAAACAGGAGTCATGATTTATAGTGCCAAATATAGAACGGCTCTAAACATGCTCTCCACACACTCAAAACCCCGCTCCCCAACTGAACTTTAAGACAGAAGGTCCTCTGTGGCTCTTGCGCTTGGTAGAACCCAAGTGAAGCATGGTTGCAGGAGTCACCCAGAGCTCTACTTCTTTGTCTTAGTGTAGGGGTTGCTCTGTAGCCTAGGCTGGCCTTCAATTCCCCAACACCCTCCCATGGCTGCTTCCCAAGTGCTGAAATTACAGGCACAAGCCATTAAGCCTGGTCCCCAAGGCACTGTTAGCCCTCCTGCAAGCAGGCTCTTAGCTTCTAAGAGCTTTATGCAGATGTGAGGGGCAGACAGATTGTATGTAATTAAAGCTATTTCCCAAGGGGCTAGGAAAGATGCCTGGGCTTCCCTGAACTGAGGGGCAGTGTGGTGTGCGGACAGGACAGCAGTGACTAGTATCGTCTCTGGATACAAGGTGAGGTGTCTGCCTCAATGGCCCTCTCCCACTCTTAGAGGTGTCACCACAGCCAGTTTTGAGTATTCAGAATCAAGACATCACTTAGAAGGAAGGAGCATTAGCTGGCACCTCTACTCCGAAATGTCATATTAAGCAAACAAACCAAATATCCTAGGACCTTCTAGGATATTCTCAACTGTTCTCTAGAAAATACTTTTGTGCCTGTGATCTGCCTTTTTAACGAGAACAAAACCCTGCTTGTTTGCACATAAACCTCTGAAAGAAAACAACAGCTGATCTGGGTGAGGCGACAGCACAAAGCCATGATTGTGGAAGGAAGGGACTGGAGCAGAGAACTGGCTGGGTGTCTGCAGGGCTGGCCGGGGCCTCATGTAAAGCAGCCTGTCACTACCTGAACAGAAAGGAGTCACTGCCACAACAGCACTGTGCAGTTTATTAACCATTCAAGTACAGTAGCATCTGATAAGGTTGGGACAGAATTGGGATCGCAAAGTGAACAGATATTCAGCATCTAACAGGTTGGAAGAAGCCACTACATACTCTTCACAAACGTCTTCCACAGAGTCAATACAGTACTAGCCATTAATCCAGCACACCAAGTGTGCGGAAGTGGAAAAGATGCAACGAGAAAAATAGCTACGTTAGAAAGACCAACACTTTAAAAAAGAGTAAAACACTTTCAGTTTCTCCCCTTGAGCCCCTAAAACATCTCACGGTCTGGATCTACCTATATGGTCCTACATCAGCTTCTAGAATATTTGTCAGGAGGGAAAAAGTAAATGACACTGGCCAGTACAGTCTTTGGATATTTAGGAAGGGGTCGGGGAGAAAGTCAGTTCTCAGAACAAATTAGTCAGCCTCGGTCTCATCCGCAGGGTCTTTGGATTCTTTGTTCTTCCGCACCTCTTCAACGTGCTTGTCCTAAGGAGAAAGTGTGTGTAAGTGTCATCTGTCAAAAAAATAATTTGTCAAGCCCTGCCCACTGCCCACTAAGAGGTCAAATACAGCCCGAGTCACACAACAGCCCATGGGAATCACAAACCCAAAATCCCAAGACACCATATCATCATCTTCAAACCTGTTGGTCCTCTTGGGGATAACAGCTAAGTCTCCAACTGTTCTTCCAAGGAATATGCAATAATACTGAGAATTCTAGAACATTCCCTAAGATGAAATTCCTTCTTAACGAATGTTAAGTCCCAAACTGATGACAAAAAGGAACCAGTCTTATTTTATGAAGACAGTTCAAGCTCCCAACTCCTCTATAAAGCAAGAAACCAACCTTCTCTCGCAAACGCTCCAGCTTGGCAGCCATCTGCGCCTCCCGGTTCTCTTTGTTAGCTTCCATTTTGTGGGTCAGTTTCTCCTCTGCCATTTTGCTGAAGTTGTTGTTCTCCTCAATGGCTTTCTGAAGCACTTCCTTCTCGTGCTCCCGTTTTTCAGCGAGCTGCTTTAGGACTTCCGCTTCATGAGACTGCAAAAGAGTTTAACAGCCCCCTTGAAGTGTCCTTGGCATTAGTTGAAATTGCAAGAGAAAGCATGCATCAAGGAAACAGGGAGAAAAAAGGGTCCCTTCAAACTAATACCCAAGCTGGGAGCTCAAGTATCCTTTATGAAACACTGAAAATCACCTTTGTTTTCCAATCAACATATTTACTTTGGAAAATTGTTCATTTAGGGTTTTTTGTTTTGTTTTGTGACAAGATCTCATGTAGCCCAGGCTAGCCTGGAACTCTATGAAGCAAGGGCTCACTTGGAACCTATGATCCTCCTGCATTTCCTTCTCAGTGTTGGGACTATAGTCATATACCACCCCAACCTAGCCTGTCTAGTTTTCCTTCCAAATTATTTAAGACTCAAAGTATTTAGATGACTTGAATAATCTATTTAAGAATGGCACTTTAAAGAATTTCTGCTATTTAATTCCAAAGATTATGAAAAGGACATTGTCAGCTGGGCGTGGCAGCTCATGCCTTTGATCCCAGCACTTGGGAGACAAGAGCCAGGCAGATCTCTCTGAATTTGAGGCCAGCCTGGTCTAAAGTAAGTTCTAGGAAAGCCATGGCTAGAGAAGACCTGTCAAACTTTTAGCAGTAGTCAACAAACAGATTCAGACATATTTGGAAGAATCAACTTGCATGGTCTAAGTGGCAGGCATTTGCCACTGATTCTACCAGTTCTCTTCCATAGTACCTTTGTCCAGACAGAGTGCACCACTTAGACAGTTACTATGGATATATAGTACAAGGCCTAGCTTTCCTGTCTAGTCTCTGATTACATTGCTTCCTCCTACTCCATCAACTCCCAACTCCATGAAAGAGCAGGCAGATGGCACACTGGAGTAAACACTGCCATTCTTTTTATTTGCTTTTTGGGACAGTCTCAGACTCTAGCCTCGAACTCATTCTGAAATTCTGATCCTCCCAACTCTGCCTCCCAAATGCTGAGCTTATGTGGTGCCAGGGACTGAACTTGGGAATTAATGCATGCCATGCAAGCACTCTACCAACGGAATTAAACCCCATGGCCAGGTTGGCCTCCAACTGGATGTGTAGCTAAGCATTATCTTTAACTTCTTATCGTCCTGTCCCCACTTTCCAAGTACTAGGATTGTAGATGTTCCCAGCTAACATCCCCATTCTCCCTGGAGATGGTAAGTGCAGACAATAGAGTATAGGAACTGAAAAGTACATGTGCTGTGGCAGCTAAATGTACATGTTAGACTAATTATTCCATCTGATATGTGATATTACTATACTTTAACCTTTTCATGCCTTTGTTCCCCCAATTAAATAGGCCCACCATAATCATAGCTGAGGGGAAGAGAGATTTAATGAAAATTCATGTAAAACTCTTTGTAAAAATATATTTAAGTGTTTTGCCTGTACGTCAGTGTACTGTACTGAACGCATGCCTGGCGCCTGAGGCCAGAAGAGGGCACCAAATCCCCTGGAACTTGAGTTAGAACTGCTATATGCTGCCATGAAGCTGTGCTGGTGATGAAACATGGGCCTCCACAAGAGCAGCAGGGGTTTTAACCACTGATCCAGGTCTCCAGTCCCTATCTAAAGTTCTTAATAAGAATACTATTGAGGGCTGGAGAGATGGCTCAGAGGTTAAGAGCACTGGCTGCTCTTCCAAAGGCCCTGAGTTCAATTCCCAGCAACTACATGGTGGCTCAAACATCTATAATGAGATCTGGTGCCCTCTTCTGGTCTGCAGGAATATATGCATGCAGACAGAACACTGTATGCATAATAAATAAACCTTAAAAATATTGTTGAATGTATAGAAATATATGTTAACAGGGATACTTCTGAAAGTGAAATGACTATATTTAATTCCAGTTATAATTTCATTTCTCAACTCTTCCATAATTAGTATTTGTTAAATTTTCTCATTTTACTTGTTTTATGTATATGGTCTATATGAATATAAGCACATGTGCATGTCAGGCCTTCAGAGGTCAGAAGGCGGCATCAGATCCCTTCCCTCACAACTAGAGTTACAGGCAGTAGGGAGCCACCCAACATGGGTGTTAGGAGCCACCTTCTGGCCCTCTACAAGAACAGCAAGGACCCTTAACTGCTGGGCCATCTCTCCAGCCTCTCATTAGGTCTTATTTTTCAATTATTTTACTTTATGTGCATGGTTATTTGGTGTGCACATTTATCTGTGCACTACTTGTATGTATGGTAGCCATGAAGGTCAGCAGAAGGCAGTTGGATCCCCTAGAAATGTTATGAATGGTTGTAAGCCACCATGTGGGTGCTGGGAACCACACATGGCTCCTCTGCAAGGACAGCCAATGCCCTTAACCGCTGAGATACCTTCCAGCCCTCAATAGCTTTCAAAGATGGCTACTTTATAAAGGAAGTGTTTATAGAAGTGAGAAACAGTTAGAATACCACATCTGTGGAATTTTAAAGTTTTTATTGTATAGCTCTCAAAAAGTAAAATTAAGGAAACAAAGAATTACCTGCCAACAAATAAATGTCCTACTTTTTCTAAGAGAAAAAGCATGAGCTTTGATGAAACACAGGCTTAGCTTGAATCCTGCCTCCAGCTCATAGGACTTCAGGGAAATGCCTTAATAATAACATTTTTCTTGTCTGTTACCTGAGATAATTCCCACCGTGGAGGTCCAATTTATTAGAGAAAGCTCTTGAGTCAACAAGCTGGCTCCTCATAGGAGCTCATTAAATGATGGCTGCTTTCTTCCAACCATCAGCACAAGGATATTTCCTACTTATAACCACAGTAGAGCTCCAATTCTTTTTCCCTTTCTAAGAAAATAAACCAGGGTTCCTTGTTACACTATTAAGTATCCTGTAATTGTCTGGTTTACCTTGCGTCTTTCTTCTGCAGCTTCTAATTTCTTCTGGATTTCCTCCAGGGAAAGGTCCTTCTTCTTTGGGGGGGAAAGGGGAAAATCGGGAACGGATTCTTTCGACCGAGGGCTGAGAATCAGCTCAAAAGCCTGGCCTGAAGCACGCTTCTCCAGTTCCTTCACCTGAATATCTGGAGTTGATCAGATTAGTGATAAACGAGGAAGACCCAACAATTTGATAAACAGAATTAAGGCTGATTAAATTATCTGTAGTTAAGAAAGCAAGCAATATCTACCTTAAAAAAAAAAAAAAAAGAAGCTCAACATTTTTGGGTTAACAAATACCATTTTAAAGAGAAATTAGTATCTGATAAACATTTTATTAAACAAAGAATGGTTTGTTTTGTAAAACCTCACAATTTTGCTTTGGACCAAACCAAATTATCTAATTATAAACGATGGTGAGTTTTCCATATATTCATCCAAATGGTAAAATTTTAATTGCCTTTTTATTTGTAAATTCAGTTTTGAAAAGAACACAATGCCAAATTAAAAGCTTAAGACCTGTACCACTTCCTATTCTAAAGCAGCAAGCCCATCCCAGTTTCAGCTTTTCTAAATCAATTACCTACCAGAAGATGCCATTTCGAACAGAAGACAAGAGACTGGCCGTGCACCCTCCACAATCCACTGGTAAGGAGAGCCCTGAAAACGATTTCAAAGCATGCAATCAATTTCTCTGCATTTCTCTGTCATCAACACAAAGGAACCTCAAATCACACCAATGCCAATGTCAGGAAAATCATTAGGTGGAATCAAGTGACATCATTAAAAAATCATCTAGAAACACCTAAACATATTGGGAAATTTAAACTGCATAAATACTGGCGGCAGAAAATCAAATTAAGTCATATTCTTAAAAGTAAAAACCTCGAATCTTAAAAAAAAAAAAATCAGAGGTTCATTCATAAGGTTGAAGGATTCCTTCCCATAACCTCAATATTTTTTCTACCCAACATAAGATATTCCAGATTCAACCCAACAATGAGATCGGAGCCATCTTAGTTCTGTGTACAACTCATTGTGCAACTGAAATACCCACCCACCCCTGCTTTGTCTGTCTGCCATGGTGGATAACACCCAAGCTAGTAGCCAATAGTATTCAAGTCCTATTGTTCCTAGGGTTTAAGCTACTTGCCTAACAGTGGGGAAATGAAATTTTATGAACCTCTTAGGCTTTTTTTGAGGGCTAGAAATGAAATTGCAATCGTCTTGCCTCGGCCTCCTCAAGTGTAGAGGGGTGGGGTTTAGCCCAGTGGGTTAGCTGTTGCCTAGCATTTGCAAAGCCCTGGGTTCGATGAACACTCGGGGGGAGGGGAGGAGGCGGCAGGCATTATTCTGGGTATTGGGATTAAAGACATGCGCCACCACACCCGCTTCATGTGTGTCGTTTGCTACCTTACGTCGCAAAAAAATTTTTAACACTTGCCGATTATTTTTAAAAAGACCACCACTCTTAGGCCCGAAGCATATGATTTTAAAGGCTCCAAACGCTACACATTGACCGAGGCAGCGAAAAATACGTTTAGCTGTACCAAAGCACCCAACACAGCAGCCTAGCCAGCATGGGCGTGGTCCGGGCAGGCAGGGCTGGCGGCCCGGGCCAATCAGAACCCGCCCTACGCTCCGGCCTCTGGCCCCGCCCCTCGGCTCCCCGCGCCTTTTCGAATCTCCGCGAACCTCTCTACACTCGGGAGCCCGCGCGCGTGGGCAGCGACAGGATGGGCGGGGCTAACGGTCCTCCGGGGTGGCCCCGCCCCTCTCGGGCTGGCAGCGCGCGGCTGTCCCCCCCCCAACTCCCGCCAAAAATACCTCGCGGCTACGCAGTCCTGGGGTGACTGCAGCGGGCTTGGTCGCACCGCTGCCCAGGACCTCCACTACGGATCCGCGAGAGCCCAGGCGGGCGCCGCCCCTCAAGTGCACTGGTGCCCGCAGCCTTGCTCTCCACCAGACAATGGAGACCCCTGAGGAGCCGCGCCCACCGAACGATGGAAGCAGGGGACGGCCCACGCCCCTATAGTCTCCATGCTCGCATCCAGGGCTGAAGCCCACAGCTGGCCGCGCCCCCTCCCCACCAAGCCGCGTCCCCAGGGAGCAGGGACAAAAGCCAAGGCTCCGCCCGAGACTCACACAAAAGGCGAACGCCCCCTGCCCGCCAGGTCTCAGGGCTCCCGCCCCTCCAGTGTCCCCCGCTGGCTGCCCGCCGCCTTCCAGGCTGGTCCCTACCCCGCCGTCTCTGCAGCCGGAGACAAGCCAGCACCCACCTGCTCGCTCCGAGTCGCCTGGCCACACTCTGAGCACCAACAGACCTGGGCGCGCACAAAAGCGCCAAACAGCGGCACGTGACCTAGCCGCGGGTCTTCGCATTGGCTGAGCGCGACGGCACGTGCCGCTCCCACCCCCCCCAAGCCTGGGGTGCCCCGCCCCTCTGGAGCGGAGCATCTTGGGAGGTGTAGTACGGGCCAGTGGGGCAGGAGGACAATGCAAGGGGTGGGGTGCTCTGGGGGGAGGGTCCCCCAGGTGTGAACCCCGGCTGAACCCCGGGTCTCTGCACAGAACACTGGGACTAAATCGGCTGCGGAACTACATCTCTAGGAAAAGAGCAGGGCGAGGCGAGGGAAGGAGCAAGGGAGGGGGTCTGTTCTAACCTACTTTGGTCTCTTAGACCTTGATCGACTAGATTCTTTAGCTGCCGAGCCGCACGAGTCTGGTTCGCTCCCTAGACAGTGTCCCTTTTGATGCCACACCTCGCCCTGTCGCCCAAGTCGCCCGAGCCCCTGTGACAAGACAGTGCCACTCCACGCCCCTTCACCGTCCTCTACCCTTGGCGTCCTACCACGGATACACGCCAGCCTGTCACCTGCGTTGCAACATCGCGATCGCTAACCCATTTCGTGCTGACAGGTCACGGGCGTGGTCCTTCCCTCGGCTATTTGCATTCTATCCTTCCTCAGCTTCCCGAACTGGGGGATCTATGCTGGACTGTGTGAGGCTCTGGAATCTGATCTTGGGTCTAACAAAGCCACTAAGCTTGTAAGGGAGACTCCATCTCTCCTGCCAAAGCCTTGTGGAGACAGGAAAGGGAAGAGCGATGGTAGTTCTAGATACACTGACTGCAGTAAAGTGCTGCTTTTGTTCTGAAAGCACGTGCTCCCCAAACGGGGCTGGGCTCTCTTTGAAAATGTAAACAAAAGGAGCCACAAGGTCACGGTTCCCTGTGGCCTGGATAAAGCAGAACTATAGCAGAGACACAAAGGAAATTAGCCTGACCCTGTCTCTCTTGGACCCCTCCTCTCTAACTGAAGCTGTGTCCCCATGTGGTGGTCATTTCCCCAAGGCACCTGCTCAGAAACCCTATACACAAGGAATAGTATTTTATTAATGGATTTGGTGTCCCCAAAACCAAACCACACATACCACGGCCTCTGTGGAACCACAGTCCTAATTTTAAAAGAATCCAACGTCTGGCTAACCAAGAGGGAAGTACCCGAGATAAAATACAATAGGTGCACAGGACAATGAAAACAGCAGACAGACAAAGCAAGCAATTGGCAAAGTACTGTTGCCTGAAATATGCTTATAGAGGCATATTTTCCAACAATTGCCCTTGTGTGGGGTCAGTCTCCGCCTAACCCCACCCCAGTCAGTCTGCAGGGTTCTTGCTTAGCCTGTAAGAGGCAGGAGCCGATTCTGCACATTGAGAGACTTTTCTCTTACACAAACACAGCCTCGGATCAGTCAGGTGCTTCAGTTTCCTGAAACGGATCTCAGAAACCATTTAAACCCTGGACAGGCGTGAGACTAAAGCCTTTCTTTAAAAAGACAGACAAGCCAGGGTAACACAGATGAGCAAAGACCTCCAACACCAAGAGGTCTGGGGCCTTCTGAACCAGCATGTCGTCTTGAAGTCTTTGTACTGGATCTGGAAGTGTGTGTGGCAGATCCCACCCATGTGACGCAGGTTTTTCCCCAAATATAAGACACTGCCACACAAAAATCTCATATTTCTATTAATGTTGTGACAGAGAAAAATTAATCCTTCAAAACACTGATTATTTTAAAACACTTATACCATCCCACCCCACCCCCACACACACCTTTCTCCCTAGAGCAGATGTCTATTTCCATGGAAACCCCAGCTAGACATGAAGTCGACGTTAGAACTCATGAAGATTTTTCATCTTTTTTATCGATGCCTCTTGGCTTCTGGATTTGTTGTTGGATGCATGCTTGTGTTGGCATCTGTGACAAGAATTTCTTGAGATTCTCACTGCTGCTTAGGAGGACATAGGGGGATGGGATCAAGTTTCCTCCTGGAATGACCCTGTGAATAGGAAGATGTTTGCCTGTGCAGTGGGAAGATTCTATGCTTTAGGATGGAATGGGGTTGCTTCTCTGAAAGCCAGTTCTCACCGGAGTTCATGGATGGTACCCACAATTTGAAAGGGTAACTAACAGCTCTGCTACTCCACTGTGTAAAGGGCCACGACCTCCTTCTCCCCTAAGACTAGCAAGGTCCCCCGCCCTCTCTGAGGCAGCGAGGGGTTAATGTTTCCCTATTGGAGCTGCCTCTCTTTGCCTATGAGAATTATTTTTGCTTCTGCTCAGATGGCTTGGTTGGATTGTTATGGGGCCAGCTGTAACTATGGATTAGCACAAAGTAAAGTCTAGATATGGCAGCTGTCCAGCTTATTTGATCTGTGTAGACAGCCAAAGGAGAGCACTTCAGGCTTCAAAGCCCAGAAAGGATGTCTACACTGATGAAATGCACCAGGCTGTTGTCAGATCTCCCAGTTATTCCCAGAGAGGCGACAGCCTTTGTTCATTGTTGCTTCTGAGGCCACAGAGGTTGTCTCCCACATAGGCGCCTCTGAGGTCCGCTGCTGCTCCTGGGGCCTGTCTTTAACCAGGGGTGTCACGGGAGAAGTCAATTTTATTGTTGAAGTTTCTTTGTTCCCTTTGTCCCTAGTCCTCAGGACCTGGGCTCTAATGTACCTTTTTCTATTCAAACTCATCCCTGAGAATATTTTACACATCTGTCCCCCCCAGTGGGTAGAGGAAATGTGTCTTGTCTAGGTGTCTAGTACAGGGCTTCATACATGCTGAGGGCCTAGAGGTTTGTAGAGGAGGAGGGGTTGAAGAGCCCTCTCTCACACCCAAGTTCCTGTGGTGAGCTGTTAGATCCTCCGTCACAGGAGATGCATTGAAAGTCCAGAGCATAGAGTCTGGATCAGCCTTGGTGCAGAGAGTGCATTAACCAACATTGCTATAGTAAAGTTCCTTGATTGCTAGAAGTGAATGAATGAATGAATGAATGAATGAATGCATTGGATGAATGTTAGACTTTTATCCTTAGGTTTGCCATTGTCCTTACTGAGTTAAGTTTTCCCATAGAATTATTTTATTTCTTTTTCTTTATTTTATGTGCATTGACATCAGAGTCCCTGGAACCAGAGTTACAGACAGTTGTGAGCCACCATGTGGGTGCTAGGAATTGAACCTGGGTCCTCTGGAAGAACAGCCATTGCTCTTAACTGCTGAGCCATCTCTCCAGCCCCAGAATTATTTTATTTGTAAAACTCTTTTTATCTGATGGTGCTAGATAACTAACGAGGGCCGTGCATGGCATGGAAATGAAATGTTTCCCTGAAGGCTTGTGTGTTGATGGCTTGGTTTCCAAATTGCAGCTGGTGTTCAGAGGTGGGGCCTCCAGGAGGGATTGATCCATGGTGAATTCATGTGCATCAATGTTTTGTCATAGGTATCAGGTGTAATGAGTACGGTTTATCCGCCTGCCGCCGCTGGTCTTGTCCCGCCACCACGCCGCCAGCCCCAAATAATACACAGAGACTCTGTATTTGATACAATACTGTTGGCCCAGTTACTTGTTTCTTATCGGCTAGCCCTGCCTTTAATTATTAACCCATTTCTATGTATCTTCACATGGCCTTCTCTTACCGGGGAGGCGGCTGGCGTCCAGCTCTCTCCAGACTCTCCATCTTGACTCCTCCTTACTACTTCCTATTTCCTCCTTGTCTCCTAGTCCCTCCTATCTTCCTTTCCTATTGGCCAACAGTGCTTTATTATTAACCAGTATGAGAAACTTACAGAATGACATCTCCCATCATCTCCTCTTTTCTGTCTAAATAAAAAGAAGGGTTTTAACCTTAACATAGCAAAATATATTATACAACAGTTATCAAGTAAGAATCACAGTTAACAATATTTAGTCCATTAACATTTAGCAAGATTTGAAGAAAATATTTCATCATCTATTCTATCTTTGTGTGTCTAAAGTCTAAGTAACTTATCTTTAATCCTAACTAATGAAAACTATAACCATAACTATCTGTCTTCAACTCCTTCAAAGACCACAGAAGGATAATATATAAGCTCTAGAAATGACAGAGACAACTCATTGCCTGGTCACCCGAAGTTCTTCTGTAATCTTCCATCTTCAGCCCATAGGCCATAGTGTGTCTGGCAGACTCTTCAGCAACGCAGGAAACTTTAAACTGTCTTCTTGTATTGGCAGTTTGTCAGTCACTTTTGTCTGTGTCCTGCATAATGCTTCGCAGACTCTTCCATGAAGCAGGATCTCTGTAGCAATGTCCATCTTGAATCAGAAGTCACTTTACTGTGGGTCCTGCATGTCCAGTTTATACATCACAAAGTCAAACAGTGCAGACAAGAGGAGTATCTTGTCCAAATGGCTAGTCTTGCCATACTGGAAGCAAACTCCAAAACGAGTTTCTTCAATGTCCATCTTCTTTTCTGGTGCAGGTGGTATTGCCAAGGGCAATTATGTCTCACTGTCACGAAAACCCTAAACCATTTTAAATGCCATATTCTGTAGGTCTTTGAAAGGTTTGAAGAATGCCTATCTATCTCAAATACATCTCTGTGTATCTTGAAAACCTAACTAAGTTAACTCTAAGCTTTGACTATCATAGGTAATTATCTATAATCTGTACTACATTATACAATATGTTTCTGAATGAACTATATAAACACAATGCCTAAACAAAAGGAGAAATATACACATCACAAAATTGACCTTAAATTGTATCAATAAATGAAAATCCATTCCAAAACAAAATAATCATATCAATACCATAATTCCCTTTTTACCTTTAAAAATAATCGGCTGTGATCATTACCCATTTATAACCAACCATTTAAATGAAAACAAACATTTATAAATATTTGGGAATTTGGGCGTCGTTCTTTCCAAACTACTTCCTGCTGACAGGGGGCGCTGTCATGGGGGATCCTGAGAAGTTGCAGAAATCTTGGCTGTAGTCTTCGAGGCTGCTTTGTCCAAGCTGTTTTGAATGTTGGATCATCAGCGACTGTTTCAGGGGGCCTGGCTTGATCAAACC